CTATACAAATTTTACTTAAGATAACTTTTCAAGTTTTCATATGTTTTATTGTTCCGACGACAATTATGCATATGATCATTACGTACGGAAGCGTTAATAATTAATTCTCGAAAATGTTATGTTGTAATATAACTTTATTACACATAAATTTATAAAAAATAATCTTTTAATTTGGTAAAAAAAAATTTGATAATTTAAAAAAATTATGGGGGTATTTTGTTTAACAAAAAAATTAACAAAATTTTTTTTATCTATAACTTTAAAGTACTCTTGAAACCACTTTTACAACTTTTGTTTAAAAAATTTTTTTCTATCTTATATTTCCGACGATATTCACCTTGAAAGAAAAATATCGTTTTTTTTTAAAAGAGTGTTTCATCTCTTAAACATGAGTTAGCGTACATATGAAAAAATACGTGTCGCTTAGATTTTCATGTTTAATAACATATCTCATGAAAAATCAAATCGGTTCCTAACAGTTGTGAACCTTCCTTTGTTAGTATTATGAAACGAAACATGCTCTGACGTAGCACTATCACACGTAATACTATCCTTATTATCCGAATAGCACTTTCTGTTTTTACACAATATCGCTCACCTTTATGTGACCTTAATGCGTAAGATTCAATGACAAAAAACCATTGAGAAACAACGACGGAGATTAAACAAATGCTTATCAACGCGCATGAATAGATGTGTAAAATCGGCGCCACCTATACTATCCAAGAATGTTATTTTAGTACGATTAAATATGTTTTAATTCACAATTAGATATGTTAAACGATGTAATTAATTAAATACACTACGCAAAGCGTAATGCTAATCGTTATATACCTTTACGTTGCTTATACCTTTTCGATACCTTTGCTTTATTATACGTTATTTCTTACGAAATACACAGTTTCTTATGAAATACACTTTGTCGAAGCTATCGAATCGTTTTATAATATCTGCTATTAGGTATACAACTTTGCTTCCACCGTTTTCCTATAGGTGGCTTTAGCGATAAGTGGTGATCGAAATAAATAGATCATAGACATCATACAATAAACTTGGGCATCTGTCAACATAACCCCATAGAAACCCATAGAAACATTAGTCGATTTGTGTCTGCATCATAAAGTTATTCTCGATTGAAAATGTCAGTTTACGAGCCAAATTCTCGTCATTTGCGGGAGATTTTAATTTTTTGCTTCAATATGAAGAAATCTGCGGCTGAGGCATCGAATATTCTCAAATACTTATGGTGAGGCCGCTATTAGTGAAAGAACGTGTCGTGAGTGGTTTCAACGCTTCAAGAACGGTGATTTTGACGTCCAAGGTCATGCTCTGTATTTGGTGGGACCAGCTCGGCGTAGTGTATTATGAACTATTAAAACCGACTGAAACAATCACAGGCGATCGGTATCGAACGCAATTAATGCGTTTGAGCCGAGCATTGAAAGACAAACGGCCGTAATACAACGAGAGACACGATAAAGTGATTTTGCAGCATAACAATGCTCGACCCCATGTTGCGAAAGTGGTCAAGACATACTTGGAAACGTTGAAATGGGAAGTCCTACCCCACCCGCCATATTCTCCAGACGTTGCTCCCTCTGACTATCACTTGTTTCGATCAATCGCACACGGCCTGGCTGACCAGCATTTCCGGTCTTATGAAGAAGTAAAAAATTGGATCGATTCGTGGATAGCCTCAAAAGATGACCAGTTTTTTCGACGCGGGATTCGTAGCTACCCTAAAGATGGAAGAAAGTAGTGGCCGGCGATGGACAATACTTTGAATCATAAATGTATAACCAGTTTTTTACAATAAAGCCTCGAATTTCGGAAAAAAACGGCGGAAGCAACGTTGTACACCTAATACTTTTTGCTGGAGTGTTTTTGACGTGTTAATGCATGTATATTTGGAGTTACAGTGTAAGCTCGCGTAGATAGTATGTTTTTTGCCGTTTGACAGAGATTTAATCGTACACTGTTAGAAACGTTCTTAAATTTTATTAATCTTTAATGTCTACTGGTGAATACAATTTAAATTCTCTGTAATTGAAATGATTATTTATGTACATTTATGATTATACATGTTAATGAGATTTAAGTTTGTAATGACTAGAAAATTAAGTGTACTGCAAAAACTCTAATTAAAAATGAAGTATATAAGTATATTAAGTAAAACGAGGATCGAAACGTATATCGAATTTTTATTATTAGATAGATACAATAGAGTTTTGATTATTTTATACACTAACATCTAATGTTGGCTCATATAAGCACTATATACATTAAAAATTAAGTGTATTAATTTATTTGTATTAATTTATTAAAATATCCATCAAATTTAATGCTCGTTCATTACATTTAAAAAATCAAAATAATAATTTAGATTTCATTTACATCACTTTTGAATTATACATTTCTTATATTTCATTAATGCATTTATTAATTTTTAGTCAGATCTCATTTCATTAACTCATAAATTAATTTTTCTAATACTATGAACATTAAATTTAATGTTCATTACATTTAGGAACACTGTAGCTTAGTTTTTCAGTTATATTATTCATTACTTTTCAGTTACTGCATATCTTCTGTTACATGTTACTCAAAATTCATTATGAAATTTTCATCAGTGTATGGAATGATGTAATTAATATGTTCAGTTGTATTTAATGATTTAAAGGAACAAAAAAATGTAAGAGTAATATTTCATAAAAATGTAAGAGTATTACTCAGTTAGCGTTTCATTTTCAAAAATCGGAAATTTTATTAATAGTTCTGCTTGCACTCGCAATAATTTTTAGGTTTTATAAATAGTTACGTTGATTTAGCAAAAAAAAAAAAGAAAAAAGGTTACTAACTCCGGCACTTCAAGATTTGAAAAAGTTGATTTTTATTATGAAATCTTATAGTTCTCGAAGAGTTTCTGATAAATTTTAACAAGTGCCACTTCCTAATATTTTAAAATAAATTTTAAATATTCTCTTAATAAGCTCTAAGAGCTGGCACCTCAAGTTTCACAAAAATAAATTTTTATTATGGAATTCTTTTGTTCTCGAAGAGTCCTACAGTTCCTGATAGTTATGATCTTTAAATATTTTTAATCAATTTTTTAATCTGAGCACCACATCCAAGAATAAAGTATCTCTTAACAACCAGTTCTAGCCGATTTTTTGGCATTTGCAGCGCTAAGTGTTTACTTTTTTAATTTTTTGATGTAACACTTGAATGGACATAACGCAATTTTATCATAACATTTTGAATAATGTTTTGAAGGAAAATTAAATAATTATGACTTTGGTTAGAAGAGAAAATTTTGAATGAATTGCGATATAAAAATTTCGTATAAGAAGAATTAAAGCTATTTGAATCGGAACAAGAAGATTCTTCAATAGGAACAAAATATATATCTGATTTCAGGATACACAAAAGTTAAAAATGGTATCACTCATATTCTTTGGATTCTTTATTTAATTTATTATTTGGTATGGGTTTTAACTTGGCGCCAATTGTTGATATCAAATCCTTTATACGTATAATACATATCATTAGACGAATAATACATATCATTAGAGTTAAGAAAGTAACAAAGACAATATCACTTGAGTTTTATTTTTTAATTTGATAGAATTTAACTTTGTTAGTTAAGACTGTATTATAGGATAAATTTCCTAAGTCATTTATATTTTGACGACAATTCGTGAAGCACCCTTGAAACCGCGATCGCGAATCCTAGCTTGATGACAGATGAATAGCGGGAGCACGGCGTCATATTAGCGAGTGGCGGCGTGCAGGTAGACGAATGACGCCGCGACGAGCAAATTTTGTTAGACGCTTTTGAATCCAGATATATATAGTTCTTTGTTATAAGCAATAAAACTTCTGTTGCGCCATTATTAATCCCACAATATCATTTTTTAATTTTTAATTTTGTACAGTAGTTAATTAAAATTGTATCATTTGGATTTTAATTTTTAATATGATACAATAGTTTATTTCGAGAAGTAATAATTTTTGACAGAGAATTAAAACTGCCATTAGGTTGGAATAAGAGAACCTTCAATAAGAATATTTTTGAAAAAGATTTTTATTACACTATAATTTTACAAAAGAAAGAGAGTATAAACATATTTCATATACAAAGTGTCCAGTTTTGACAAAACGCTCATGTTTAGACAGAACGGACTAAAACTGAATCGAAATGTTCTTCATTTTGCAATTTTCGTAATTATTAACAAGATATTAATTACTAAAAATTGCTGAATATTGATTTTTAATAATTTTTTACTCAAATATTTCAATTTTACACAAATATAGCAAGAGACAAAAATTATTTATTTAGGATATCCTGTATAATTAATTTTGTATATAATTATATAT